ACAATGCCTTCTCCCTCAGAGAACACGGCATCCGCCAAGCTTGGGCTCCGTGCTTGGCGACTCCCTGAGCCCGTCCGTCGGTTCTTTCGAGTCAAGGATGGTCGAACGAGGTCACTTGCCAAGATGGGCATGGGTAGCCTTTACAGCTTTGAACCGGGGGTTTGATGAGTGAACCTAACAATAACCTGACACCCATCCCCAACGATCATTTCGTTGGCATCGCTTGTGAGATGGTTCTATGAGCGTCATGTTCAGGAGTCCAACGATCGCCGTCCAACCGTGCCTCACCTACTCCTCATGATCCTGCATGACTTAAGAAGTGAGGCCTGCAACAAGTGACTTTTGAAGCTTCCGTAGACTGCATGGGAAATTGAAGTTTCAGAACTTTTTTCAGAAATTCCGTGCCTAGGTCATGTCTGACATCCAATGACCATGAGGACCGATGCATTCTTCTCCTTGGGCCCCGGCCATGTTGGTGCCAGGCGGCTGTGGGGGTGGCGCCAGCGGTGGCTTTGTTGGCACCTGAAGATCAGGACAGTTGTGGTCCACCTCGTCATGCTCAAGTCTAATGGAGGTGTTGAATTTGGAAGGAGTGATCAATCCCTTGGTGTCCACTTGACTTCGGTGTGGTGTTGAACCAACCAAAGTGGCTTTGACCTTGACCATGTAGTAATCCCAAGCCGGCAGGAAGATGGCCAGGCTGTCAATGTTAGCCTATGAGAGTCTGCATTTGGCAATAATACGCTTGGGACACCAACGAAAGCGTTCAGCGACCAATAATCGATCAGCAAGCCGGTTTGATGAAAGTGATTGCGACATGTCTGGTGTCTCCACAGTAGCTGGACCCTGCCTGTTGAGGAGGATAGGCACCTTAGCTTAGGAGGTTTGGACCGAAGTCACTGGGAATCTAATCTGGAGGCTCCGAATCACATATGGTGGTACAGTAAATGTGTTTTTTTCAGTTCAGTTTGCCAATTGGTACTTCAAGCAAACCTTCCATGGGTTTCAGCGTGTATCATGCTTGCAGGTGCAATAAGAATGATGATCTGTCTTGGCAGTCAGAGCCTCCAGGTTAATTGCGAAGTCCTTACACTGACAAAAGACCACTCTTGACTGGTAGCTCTCCAGAGTCATCAAAGGAACTCTAGAACCAAGCCCTGAATCCCGAAGTCATGCCCCTGAGAGCCAAACCTCTTGCCTGCAAGGGTACATGAGTGATGTTGCTTTTGGCCAGGAAGTCCACACTGATCCAAGTCGGACATTACTCCACTGTGCCTACTTTTTTGAAGAATACTGCGATCAAGGGCCACACTACTGCTACCACTGCTGGCCTACACAGTCGTTTCAATTTAGCAGCCTCAAAGGTGCCAGATTATTTTTGGAATCCAACCCCCCTGCAAATCAATATCTGCTAAGGCTCTAAGGAATGCAAAAAGCAATCTGAGTTAAAGCCATGTAGAATTGCTGTGTTGGCCCATCCACCTCATCCTCTGGATGCCCGTCCAAAGGCCTGCGAAAAGGGGATGCCCGACTGCGAAAAGGGGACAACATGGGTTATTGCTCAATCACATATGGGGTGTGATGGATTCCGCATCCTTCGGACGTTTTCATCCGAAAATGCCGAAATCTGGGTCGATCTCATCCACATGGTCGTTGAAGGCCACTCTGGCCTTAGCTGTAGGTGCGTAATCTGCCATGGGCAGCAGCAGCAGCAGCAGCAGCAGCAGCCATGAAGTTTCGAAGCCCTGCTTGCTTTGACTTTGGATCAACATTGAGCCTTGAAGCATTTGAAGGATCCAGTTTGGGACATTGTCTTGAAATACCCCCGCAATGGGTGTGGGTCAAAGCTGGACATCATCCAGGCGTCACTTGAGCTAGTAGGCTGATCTGTAATACAAGTTTGTAGACCAAAGGACTATGCTATGGACCTGGACAAAGCAGAAGTTGTCTGCCCACCCCGGAATATCTTCCAACCATACACCAGGCCGAGGCACACCCGGCATTTTTCGTCGCCTCTTCTCCTCAGTGTCAAATGATGAGGCTTGGGTGGGCTTAAGGTGTGTGGAATGATGGTTTTCAATGGGCTTCAAAACGCTGTGACATCCTCTAACTTCTCCTGAAAGGCTGACGTGGGGAAGGAGTCACGTGGTTTAAAAGGGGAAGCGAGAAGAGGCGGAGAAAGTCAGGTACAGGAGGTATTCCGCAAGCACCGTTTCTGAGTGTTTTGTTCTGCCACAAATGTTGGAGAATCGTCTGACCCATCTGCCATTGTCTGCTGTTGGTGTACGTTTTTCTGAATCCAATGGTCGTGCAATCTCAAATTGAATAGGATTGTGGGTTTCTAGAAGACTTGTACTTCACGCGCGAAGGTGATCAAATGACCACCCTTGCTGTTAAATAATGATGGTTGCTTGAATGCAACTACCGAAACCACAATGTCCAATGTAGCAGCAGTTCCAGTATCCAGTATCGAAGCACATTCGCACGAACAAAAGCTGAGCATGCATTCCTGAGCCAACAGGGCTAGGTGTCCGGACTGGCATGGAGTGAATCGGTGGATCAAGGACAGAAGCACCTGGGAGTTCATACAAGGTTCTTTTCAAGCTTCAGCCATATGGAGATGCGGCACAATAGGACACCTACTGGTGGGTTTCAGGGGTTTGGAGGGTCATACCCACATCCGAATTCAGAAGCTTGAAGCAGGAAAAGTGATTATCCAAGTAATCTCAAGCAGCCACTTTCTTTATCTCCAGTCCCCTGGTCGTACGACCTTCGAGACATCAATCTTCCGGACGACCTTCTTGTACGGGGCCATGCATGTTGGCTGCAGCACCTTATACTGTGTATGTGATTCTACCGTTCTTGCAGTTTGTCTATGTTCATGCATTCGCGAGTTTACATTACCCTGGGGTCCTGGGGTCAAAAATATCTTTCTCCTCAAACTAAGCTCGAAATCGAAATCCAAGTGCATATCATCTTGCTTTAGAGAATGCCACTCTGAACTGGACGTGGTGTGTGTGAAACACTGCAAATCCCATGAATCGCAGTCCAGGATCTTCAAATGGCGTTGTTGCTCAAGTAATTACTACGTAGAGCTTCACACAAATAGAAAGAAAAACAGACCTGGCGTATCCCTGTCTTCCCTTTCGGTCACCTCACTTGTTATATTACGATCACTGGGCATCCAACTTCTTTTCCTTGAGCGCCCCTCTGGGGCGTCTGAAGTTTCCCTAGCTTCGCACTTTCCTCCCGCAGGCGTCTGAATTCGACGGAAATCAGAAACGTGAACTATCCCTGCGACCGGAGCTGATCGTGGGATGCAGGGCGATCTTCTACAGTGGCCTGGACACTCTGGGTGTACTAACAAGTCATACTAGACTTCAGCAAAAACTCAGGGATCATGAAACAGGCATCGGCCGACCAAGAGGATCTTTTCGGGCAAAGAACATGAAAGGTCTCATGTCATGGCCTAGCCAATGCTCAGACCAGCCACGGCCGTAGTTTCATATTATGGACTTTCCAACACTGAACAACCGATTTGCAGGCCAAGCCATCCGGGCAGTCCTTTGACTTCTTCGGCCTCATTTGATGTTTCGTCGTCACTGAGGTCCTTCATCGAGCCCGTCTCAAGGGAAGAGGGGAGGAAAGGTTGCGTGAGCAAGAACCACATGAGGACGTCCAAACAACACACACTTCCGGAAAGGCCAAACCAGGGCTCTAAATTGTTCTTGTGATACTCCTCCAAGGAAGTCATACAGAATCTCCAAGCTATACTATGTCACAATTATTGCGTTAGGACGGGGCGTCCTTCAAATCCTCCGGCCGTACCCAGCACTCCTTTGACCTCGACAAGCTGAGAAAGCTGCAGAAGATGAGGTTGCATGACTAACAAGGGTTCATAGTCGTCTTTGGCCTCCTCCCCCAACTACTCAGAACACACTTTGTCTGGAAACACATTTTGGGTGGATGCAAGCTCCGGTCCACAGTGCGGCGTGTACTGGATTTGCTGCTTCATGTAATTGGAGGAGCAATGGGTGGAGAGACAAACAGTATATGGATCATCCTGATGATTGATGCTCATGTCCTGCAATGAGCATGAAGCCTCACCGGATTCAATTTTATACATAGAACCCTGGAACCAATCATTGCACCCCGGTTTCTGACCAACAATCATCTATTCACCAACCATCTATGTGGAGATTTGGTGCGCAGCAGCAAAATCTTACATACGCACAATCTCTTGCAATGCTCGCCTCAAAAAGAATCGATGACACTCTCTCAGTAAATCCAGCGAATGCGGGTGGTCGGTTGATTTGGCTCAATATAATCCCGGTTACAAATCCTTTGAAAACATCTGATAAAATTTGAGTATCTTGGATAGCCATCAACCACTCCCGTCTGCTCCTTTCATCTCAGTTCGGCACCCACTCAGCCTCGGTCTTGGAGGTCTCGGCTTCGGTCTGGTCTCTCTCGGCTCGTTGGTCGGCTCATTGGGCTCAGTCGTTGGGCGGTCAGCCATGGCGCGTTTGCGACGCACAAGGGCGAAAGAAAAGAGAAAGGCAAAGGTGGAAGTCCATGCAGCTGTGAGATGCAGCTTTGAGTCTCGTGCTTTAGCTGTGAGATGCACTTCTTGGACATGGTTTCCCTCAAAGTTTCGCATGCCGCAACGATCGAGCCTGGAGGAAAAGGAACCGGATGATCTTGGACGGGGTGCTTGTCAGCTAGTGCATTTATCACGTTGAACTGCTGTGAACGCGAGAATTTAAGCTATTCACCTTCAGAGGAAAAACATATGTTTAAAAATGAAACAGACCAAAGGTCTCGCTAAAGAATTGCGTCTTGTTGCCACACAGGCATGAAATGTAAGTGAAAAGGCATCCGCAAACTGCGGCTGCTTTCACTGAGGCGGTTTACGCGGAAACCATCGCACACATCCCTTTGCAGAACATTGGCGAAACATCGATTTGCGACATACGTTGACAAGTCATTTGACATTATTAGCAACAAATCTTCAACCTGGAAGGGACCTGTTCTTGACCCGCCTGTGCCAAGAACTGTGTGGGACAAATTAGGCCACGTTCAAGCTGGGCAAACAGCATTGCTTTCGCCACAGCAGAATAGATCCAAACTGCAAGCCACGCTTGCAATTGGTCAGATCAAAGAGTAATGTCTTCCAGATTCTCCGAATTTTGCTGGCACCCACAAGGAGAGAAGTAAGGTTCAGGCCTGGGATGAGTCGGCAAGAGTCCAACAAGAAAAGGAATGGCCTCCAACCTAGTAGTGATGGCCTCCAACCTAATAGCGATGGCCTCCTTCAAAATAAGACAAGATTGCTCTGTATCTATCCCTGTGACTGGAGACTCATGATCTGGCCAACGCCTCCCCCCTCATGGCAATTGAGGATTCATCTCCCTCCGATTGTGTTGTTTTGATTCTGGAAAAGCATGGTGTTAGTCGGGATAACAAGCTGCATGCTCATAGAAACGCTGGTACCGAATAAGGATCAACGATTCTGCCGACTCACACGCCTGATGTGTGCCAGCTGCATCTTCCCTCTCCTCGAGAACAAACCCTTGGGCTGTATCCAGATGTGCAAGTCAGGAGGTTGGTCAACAAATGTTGGTTCATGTTGGTTCAGCCTTGCTTTCGACACCGGATTGTGGTGCAATTCACATCTAGGACTCTAGGCTTTCCCATGCGTGTCGTCTGTGAAGTGTCCTCTGCAGGAGCAAGCTCGTCACCACTGATGTGGTCGTGATCAAACCCGCCAGAGATAGAAAGCAGCCCGGAGCCCACGCATAGCTTTGAAAAGCTGCCTCGTTTGTGGCCCACGTGTGTGGGCGGTCTAAGCTGACACAAACGAGCCCCACAGCATATCATTCCCTTCCATACTTGATCAAGGACCTGACGTGCATCCCCACGAGCCCCACAGCAGTCTTCAAGCTCCAAGCCACAAACAGCTCAAGCCACCACAAAGAGACAAAACCCGAGCTGGCCTCAAAGATCATGGGAGCAAAGCCTCCAAAGCAGCAGAAGCCAAAGTTGTAGCCTTAGAAGTGGTGCTTTGGGGAGAAGAATAAAATCGCAAACACTCTAAATATCTACAGTAGGCTTTCGGGATGGCAAGGGCATGGAGGATTTCTGTCAGCCTTGGATGGCTTGCCTCGCTTTTTCATGACCCAAGCCTTGGAGGATAAATGTCAGTGCGTCATTCTGCGGCCCTAAAGAGCTAGACAGCCGGGCTGTCGAAGGCTTGTAGTGAACTTCGCCAGGGGACTCAGGCCCACCCCTGCATTCCGCACTTCCACGGGAAAGAGCTCCACAAGGTAGAGCATATTGCATACACCGACGAATGAGAGGATAAGGCCATAGCCTCAGGAATGAAGCTGTGTGCGAGCAGAATAAATTGGAAAGTACAAAAAAAAAAGAAACACCAGTTTCTTTACCTCGAGCACTCATGGCATTACATGCCGTGCCGTGCGTGCCATGCGTGCCATCCGGAAGCGGAGCCAACGACCGCAGTCCTGACGACGGAGATACATATAGATATACGGTAAACAGTACATTTTTTTTTTCTACGCTCCTTTTCTGTGCTTACGAGTTGGCCTTTTTGGCCCTGAAACAGCTTGGTAGCTGCTGCTGTTGTGTGATCTTCTCACACTTGGACCTCAGTGCTTTGCTGGCTGCGATCTGTTCGCCTTTGACCAATGCATTCGCCTTGCATCTTTGGCAAAAGATCTTGCGGCCAGTGCGCCACATCTGATGCGTATGGTGTCCGTTCCACTGGCCTTCAGGTGTCCATTCTCCATGCCAGCATTTGGTCATGGCTAAGGCCTCCAGCTTTTCCTTTGAGGAATGCTTGAGTTGTCTGCCATGGCACTTGGTGCACACCACGTAGTTGGTGTGAATGTGGAAAGTGTGTTCTCCCATGAAAGGCAGCCGTCCATTGACCATATTGGCCAGGAACTCTGTCTTGGAGCCAGCCTCTTTGGGGTCTGCTGGGGCACCACCAATCATCGGAACTTTGAGCGGTGTTGGGCATGTTTCTTCAGCCGCACTCTGGATCTCTGCCGCCTTGTGGTGCATGTTCATTCTCTTTTTGCATTGGCTACATTGAATGCTGCGCCCTTTGTTTTCCCACTGGTGTCCCTCCGGATTGGTTTGAGGAACCAGACTCAGGAAAAGGGTTCTCTTGTGATCCCGGGCTTGCTGACGTGCCTGCTTGCCACTCTCTCTTGCCGTGTGCAAGAAATGCGTCTTCTCGTCAAGCAAAAACTGGATGCGCTTCACCACCAAAGGAGCTATACGCCGGTACTTTTTGTCCTGCTCCTGGAGGATCTGCTCTTGCTCGATCGGTTGCATGGAAAGTGCTACTTCATGCGCTGCCTTCTTGGCATCTGCCATTCTGTTTCTCAAAGACCACTCTGTTTTGGGCATGTCCTTGAGCTGGTCCGCCGTGATGGCCAACACTCGAATGCGGGCCCTCTGATCCAGCGATATGAGGTTTTGCAGGTCGTGGAAAACATCTTTGTGCTTGTATTGTGTCCATGCCTCATGCGCTCTTGTGGAGCTCACATGCACCACCAGAGGCGATTGCAAATCCACATAGTGAGCCACCATGCGGACTCCGTAGTACCATGCACGTTCCCAACTCTGGCGGCCCGGCAGCACTGTGATAACTGCTCCTTGACGGAAAAGTTGACCACCAAGCTGGACATGATGCACAATGGCCACAACAAAATGTCGTACTCGAACATCTTTGGAGGTCGTGGAGATTCCTATCGTCACCACCTCTTGTCTCTTGAGCCGTAACTCATCATGGGTGGACCAAGAGCCCCATGCCTGGGCCGCACCACCACCTGTCGAGACCTGAAGATCAGGTAGTTGGAGAAGTCCATGGGACCAGAACTCTAAGTTCACTCCATGCTCCAACTCGAAAAGATCTTCTGCTGCTAGCTTGGGGAACCTTTTGTTGGTCTCTTTGCAAAGCCATAGGACGTGCACAGAGGTTGCCTCTTGACCACAGTGCGGGCGCGTCAAATGTTGTTCCCCATCTGCTACCTTGGTGAAGATAGCGCCCTGATGCCATGTCATGAGCGCAACTGCATTTCTCTGGTTGAGCTGCTTGCTTTGTCTGTGCCATGGCAACCAATCCAGCGGCTGCTGGATCTCATGTAGGAAGGAACGCTGACTGATGGCATGAAGGCGGTCAGCAGCTTCAGCTCGTTTCAACTCTGCTTTGAGTGCCAACCACGATGAGTTCATGTCCAGCTTGAAGTCCTCCTGTCCATTGTATCCAGGTTTCGTCCAGACCCCCGGATTGTCTGCTGTCCAGCCTTTTTCCTGGAGGTAACATTGCAAAGCCGCAACTGGACCTTTTGCCACCTGCCAGGGATATTTGGCCTGTTGAAGCCTGGCTGCATGGACTTGCCAAGCCTTCTCCAAATCTTTCCCAAGATGTTCCGGCCAGGCACCATAGAACTTGTGGAAGGACTTGATCTGGTCGATGAAGGCTCCATAGTCCGGATCTTGGTGCCTCTTGAGCATATCGAAGAGGATGTCTAAATTTCCGGTCCTTTGCAGACCCATTTGCCGGCCCATTGTTGCCCTCAGCCTTTTGCGCACCTGTGGAGCCAATCCCATGCTCTCATGACCCCAACTGATTCCAGCCACAATGCTGCCCTTGTAGAGTTTGAGGCGAATGGAGCGTAAAGGAATCTTGAGGACCTGCAACTTCTTCGTTTTTTCTGCATGCCTTCAACCGTCTTTGTTTCATGGTTTGGATCCTCCTCAATCTCCCTGCCGTGCAGTCAATGCCTAGATCCCTCATCACATCATGGACACCCGGTCCCGCAGGGGGGAAGTTGTTGCTGCAAGAGGGCCTTGGCTTTTGCATTGCTGACCACAAATCCAGTCTTCTTGGCCGAAATCACCAAATCATCTTCTTGCAGCAGCTGAGTGATGTGGTTGTAAGCCGCGATGGCCACCCGCACTGCATTTTGCGGGTTCCGGTCTACCACATCGAAGGACAAGTCATCGATCCATAGATCTGTATGCAGCTGAGGAAACTTCTTGTGGAACTGCTTGAGTGCCGGCTGCAGGTATATCTTTGCCGCCAGAGGAGCCTGAGGATCACCAGCAAGAATTCCATTCTGAGCCCAGATCTGTTTGGATGCCTCTCCTTCTGCTTCCAGAATGCGTCCACCTGCGTAGACTTGTAGGGCCAGGGCTGCATGCACTGGTGGGTAGTCAGAATCCAACCATCTTGTGCCCAATTTCTCCAGGTTGATGCGGTCATAGAAATTGGACATGTCCATCAACACTGAAACCACCGTCTTTTGCATGGCGTTGTGGTGTTCTGTCATGTACGCTCTCTTTAGGGCAACTTGGAGGCATTCGGTGCCTGGCATGGCTCGCTCCCAGAAATACTCATGTTGGATGTCCAACTGCCATTGCCTGGTGTAGGGGGGAGCGAAGTCGGCACCACAACCTGTACACTGTGGCCACCAAGGCTATTGGTCGCTCAATCTCCGCATTCTTTGGGATGAGAGCTATCAATGAAACCGCCCATTGATTGGGAATTGTAGCTTGAGCTTCAACTTCATGGAAGAAGTCAATCAGGTTCCTCATTGCCTGGAATGGAAGAGCCTTGAGGAAATCAAAGCCAACACCATCCAAACCCGGCGCTTTCTGAGACAACTGCTTGATCGTTTTCCAGACATGCATGTCTGTCAGTGGCTTTAGGTCATTGGCATGTTGTTGGGCCTTCTGCTTCAATGATTCCAGTGCTGCAGGCTGATGTGGTTCATCTCGCTGCTTCCAAATTTGTCCCCATTGGTTCAACCTGCTGGCCATGCGTTCTGTGCGAGGTTGTCCTTGAAAAGGTCTCTGGTACGGCGGCTCATCCTTTTTTAGGGATCTGTAAAGTCCCCTGCAGCCTTTTTCAGTGGCCTTGCTCATCCAAGTGCGGTAGATTTCTGTTTCCACTGCAAGGGATTCTGCACTGTGTAGTTCACGTTGTTCTTTGGCAAACTTGAGCAAAACCTGAAGGTGCTCCTCATCATGAGTGGCCCAGAGCATGTTGAACAACATCCGGAAACCTTCCAACGTGACTTTTGCTTCTCCATTCCAGTGTTCTTCCAAATGCCAACCCAGCTTCTGGAGGTGATGAAGCTTGCTAATGTCCCATTGCGGTCTGTGGAGGTGCTGCTGTAGGCGAACTTCAATCTGCGCCCAAAAGGCCTGCCCCCCCTTTCCTCCAGAGCCAAGGTTTGCTTGGATCATTCAAAGGCTTGGTGACGTAGGTGAGGTGGGTGCCCCTGCCCAGTTTGGGATTCTCAAGGTTTTGGAGTACATAGCGCTCGATCTTGCTGTACAGTTGGCCCGCCTTGTTGGTGAGAGGATTGGTGGCCATGGCAAGCCATTGAACCTCAGTGCGCTCCTCCTTGACCTGTGTCCATTCTCTTGTGATGTGCTCAAGCCTGGGTGCCGGATTGTATCTTTGTATCTGTTGCATGGCAATGTGTTCAACACTCCGATTCAGCTTGCAGTTCATTTGTGCATGGGGTCGGAAAGGGACAATCCAGTTTGCTTCAATGCTCAACTCCGCTGCAAGGTAGTCTGTTGCCAGCATCCAGTCAAGCTCCCTGCCTGTGCTGCATGTGTCCTCTCCTGTTGCCACCACCTGCACCTTCATGATGGAGCTCATCGTGGTGGTCATGAACTCTTCCGGCGTGACATTGAAGTCCCCCGCGATGATAACCGGCTTGTGGATGCCAGTTACAAAGGTCAACAAAGCAGACCATAGCAACGAGTTGGTTGTGCCTTGTATGCCTTCTCCACATTTGAAATAGACAACCACAATGACCAGGTCCAGATTTTGAAAACTCCAGTGAACTGCATACCATCCACAGCCGTCAATCACCTGTTTTTGAACATAGTGGAAATGTTGATCCAGCGGATACAGCACAAGAAAGCCCCCATTGGTGCCTCCTTTTGGGCTGCTCGCAGCTGGGTGGCCCAGAACTCCCAGGCCTCTGGTAGCAAACCATTGATGAACTTTCTGAAAATCTTCTTGAGCCAAGTGCGTTTCAACCACAAAGATGGGTGTCCTAGGACGGCATAGCAACCATTGTCTGACTTCTGGTCCTAGACTCGTCACATTGGCAAATGTGAACGGGATGACTGCTTGGCAGGGTCGCTTGGCGGGTCTCTCCTCTGACTGTTCTGCTGTGTGAGTTGGGAAATCACAGGGAATATCATCCGGCAGCAAACTTTTGGACGGGATGGCCCAAACCTGAACAATCTGCATCTTGAGAGCGTCATGCAGTTTTGGAATCGGTCGTGGAAAAGAACCATCATCTACAATCCAGTAGAGGCCCCGGTAAACATACACTGCAAAGTAGTGACCGCTCTTGTGAGCATCTCCAGAATGACAAAGTAGGCCAATCAGAGAATACTGCTCTGTGCCAGTGGTGTTGCCGTCTTTGGTGATGGGCAGGTTGAAAATGCTGGGTACCTGCAGGATTTGGTGATGTTTCGTCCACTCACCTTTATCCATCCGGTACCTGCCGATCTGCGCGACCCATAAGCCTTCACCTTCAAAGACTTGGCCGTCAGCTTGGTTTGCCCAAACATTCAGCAACTGTTCGAACTCTTGAGGTTCAGGTGTTTCCGGACAGACCAAATGGATGGGAAAGGCCTCTCGCCTGTGCACTTGTTGTCTGTGGTCCACCTGATAGTAGTGGTTGATCGTCTTGTTCGTGTTTGCCAGGGCATTGAGCTCCAGCAAAAACTGCGATGCATCATCTTGGACATTATCATCAAAACGCTCCCAGAGAGGTTGTAAGGTTTTGAGGTGAGTAATCTGCACCACCTCATCATCTGTCATGGTGGTCATGACAGCATCCGTAGTTTTGCGCCACAGCGCTGGTCCTCCCAGGAAGCTGCCCGCCCATGTCCACAGGCGGTACGGTGAGTTGGCATAGCACCGGTTGCGCAGGTTGCCCAGCCGGTATTGGAGATTCTGCACCACATAGTCCAAAGGAGCCTGAACTGTGTGCTGCTCTTCAATCTCGTGCCCCATAGAAAATGAGCCAGTGTCTACATCCATGGCCGCTGCCATGACGCTCCCGGCTCCCCCACAAAAAGGCGGAAAGGTTGTGATGTCCTGTGTCTCTTGCACTTCATCACGAAGTGCAAGCGTCCCCTGGTTCAGGAATGAGCATGTCTCCCCTGCCCTTTCCTGTGAGCCAAAAGTTGCATTCATTGGCCTGCTTGCGTGAGCTTTCCCCAGCGTGCACAAACAGTCCGTAAATGCTGCCCCTCTGTCTGGTTGTTTGCAGGTGCTGTTACCCGCACTTCCTTCTTTTCACTGCATTCTCGCTGAGCTTCGAAGCAAAGGTTTGTACTTGCTCTGCAGTGGCATGAAGACCTACGTTGGACATGATGATCATGAGCTTTTCTGCCGTGATCTCGTCCGGATCTACATTTGCCTCGTCAGCGGCCTGTTTGTCTTGTTCAAGCTGCTTGTTGTACTGGTTGGTGTTGTCTTGCAGCTCTTTCTGAGCCCCTTCGATCTTCGTCTGAAGCTCTTTAAGCTCTTGCAACAAGGCAGAATACTGTTGCTTGACTCCATCTGCCTTGGCCTGTAGTGATGCCTTCTTCTCCGTGAGCTGTTTCAAGGTCCCCACAGACTGCTTCAACTTGGTGGCAATGGTCGGCTCCTGCTTGGTCGGCTCCACAATCTTTTCAACTGCATCTTTAAGGTCTGATGGCAGACTCGATAGATGCTCCTTCAACAAAGTTGGGAGATCTGGTGGAGGAGGAGGTTCATTCGCCTGAATTCCCATGGCTTCACATTGGAGCCTAAGGGCATCCGGGAGATTGCCCCAGTGCTCTTGCACAGCTTTCTGCAATGCACTTTGTCTCACTTTCTTGTTCTTCTTTTTGGGCGCTCCTCCAGCCAGGCCTGGTGGTGCATCAAGGAGTGCATCTTTGTAAGACTTGGCCGGCCACCTTGCACCTTGCTGAGCAAAGTTCCATGAAGCCCATTGCACCTGCCGCTGCTTTTGGCGTCGGAGATCTGGAACATGTCGTTGCCATGCTGAACCACATAGATAGCAGGTCAGCTGAGGTTGGCTTTGCAATCGATCTTGCCATATCCAACTGCCCTTGCAGGTGTGGCAGACGAGATAGCCTTTCTTCATGGTCTTCAGCTTCTGGTGCCAGTAGAGCAACCGGACGGAGTAGGCGAACTTGCCTCCTTCGACCTTTAGAGCGGAGATCTTCTGCTCGCGTAGGGCCAAACGGATTGGCTGCGCGTCCGCTCTTGGGCCGAAATCTTGAGCCAGGTATACAGTACATATATATATATATGATATATATGTACGCACGAGAACCATTAGGGACTTTATATTCCAAGATACGTCAAAAGAAGCTGTGCAAAACAAAGTTCTGGTAAACTTTGAGAAGGAATTTGCAGCATGAGGTTGCACAAGTGCCATGGAATCTGAATAGGCAAAATGGTATGATATGGAGTGCGGTGCCGCATTCTGGGATTATCCGCTACCGCATCTGGGTTGGGCAATTTGGGACCTTGACTCCACGGAATCCTCCAACAAAGGTCAAGCCAAAACCGAGGTAGGGTAAAGAAAAGACATACTAGGAGATTGGATGATTGTACAAGACGGTTCAGCCTGCATCTCAAGGGATCGCCTAGCTGGTGTGGTAGAAGACAAGTCATCTCTCATCAAAACAATCAAACAACTTTGCCATGATCATGTCCGATCAGTCCAATCCACATCAGGAAGATAAGAAAGGAATGAGATAAATGTATGCTGAGAACCACTTCACACATCTTCACACCACGCAATTCGATTCCCGACAGACTGTCCGCTTCCCGACAGACTGTCCCACTGGAGGCTTTGACCAAACGACCACTCCTTGAGAGCGATACAAGAGTGGTCGTTTTGTACGACGTGGATGCTGAGTGGTGGCACATCCGGATAAGTTGCTTATGTTGCGACAGTCTGTGGAGTCTCTTTCTCAGGACAGTTCATCTAGCTAGCCGGGCTCCAATCTTGTCCCGTGAATCAGCCGAATATGAACATGAAATAACATGAACAAGTTTGGTGTCCTTCTGGCCCCTTGCAACCATCTCCAAACAAGCTGAAGGAAACAGCTGACTCCTTCCAAAAAGCATTCAAGGTGCCAAGCCCATAGCATCCAACAACAGCTGCAAAGCTATTGTGGTTCGCCTCAGCTTTTGCGAACAAGCCACTAGCCCTTTTCAAACTGTACACTACATCAAATGTCTGTGAAAGACCTGATCAATTGATGTGCAATGAGTGCCTGTTGGTATTGTACCGAAACCTCTAGACCATCCTGTTGAAGACTTGCTCAAGAGATATCAAGAGAAAGTCGTTACTCTGTACATCTCATCCACTGTCACCTCTTTTTGTCTCATTTGCGTTGAGCTTCCACCATGACCATGTAGAGTGGCATGCCAAGAAAAGCCATCGTACAGGAGCCCAGGAAAAGAATCCAAGCAATGCCCTGCACATCCTCAGCCCATCTTCACCCTCCGCTTAAGCGAGCCATCACTTCCAGCGTGGCTGTACCCTGCCACAAAGCCTGCGAGCATGTCGAGGTACGGAGAAGGGGGACAGCATCAGAGTCTATTTCTGCTGAGAGGCTGCGAGCCATGCCACAAGAGGTGCCCACACCATGGAAGAAATGCGGGCAGTGATGCCAGCCGCCAGGAGGATGGAGTGGTTGGTACCCTTCTTTTGCAGCAAAACGCCTGGATGGAATTGGCACAGACCCCTCTTCAACCACCCCCTAGCTGCTTCGATGGGGATGTATATACCAGCTGTTTCTAGGCACTTTTCCCGGGCAGAATTATGTACCTGCCCAGGCTGCAACAACGAGACTGCCCACATACAACCTAAGCCTCATCAAAATGGCAAGGATGTTGATAATAATAAAAAACAAAATAAAGAAAAAAAAACAAAGTAAAAAACACTAGCACAGAATAGAACATCAACCTGGTGCAAAAGCTAACGCTGCCAACAACAATGATATTTTCAGTAAGTGGACCATGTAGCAAACGTGCCAACTGTGTCCGGTTGCAGGCTAGTGGCTGCACCAAACGAGTCCGCCATACTGCAGGAAAGAGACTGCTGCAGCAGATCCCATTCCAACGAGGAGTGTTGGCCAATACATGCTGAGCAAATTCTGCATCTTCTTGCATGCTCCTCCAAAAGCAATGATTGCGGATCATTGGAAGGAAGGAAGAAAGGAAGGAGAAGAAGGAAGGAAGGAAGGAAGGAAGGAAGGAAGGAAGGAAGGAAGGAA